TGATTACGAAAGTCCCTATGTCAAAGAACCATTTTTTCTTCTGCCAAGAGAGAAAAATAAAGACCTGTAGACCAGCACCATCTGAAGAAATCAATGTCAATAACCCCTTCTCAACTTCAGCAGTTGTTCCCGGCTTCCCTCCTCCAAGAGCCCCCTTTCCATTTTGCAAAGTCATGTGAGAGTATGTTGCAACAAGCACTGATGAAGACACCTCATTAGCAGGTAATGGAGTATCGTCAAGTAGATGATTGAACACGCTGTATAAGTATGATACATAATTTGCATTTCAGTATCAAAACCAATGCCTTAGGCAGAAAGTAAAATTAAGCAAATTAATGAATATAATAATTCACCATCAACATCACCATCCTTACTTGCTTTGTAAACGCAGGTGCCTTGCTATTGCAGATAAAGCAACACGAGCTGCCTTCCCCATGCACCTAAATATATCAGTCATGCATGGTGGAGACGAGTCACAATCTTCCAAAGCTCTACCAGAAGAAGCCAATGATTTGTTACTAATTTGGCCAAAAAGTAATTATATATAAACTATTGCGTAAAACCCAGATATTTTTGAGATAGTGACGGCAATTAAGAGATTATAACTTACAAGCTTCTTCGTATGGAAAAAGGGCACAACTACTGTGTCAAAATATATTTAAGTGAAAAGGTCCACAACAAAACTACTTCTAGTTATGACTAAAAATGCTTCAAAATTGCATAGCAACTAGGAAAGACATAGAAGATTAACCTAAAGAAGTTTTTTTTCCCAATCAATTTGTGTTCTTCATACAGTATTCTTGGTTTTCAAAGATTTTGATAAGCAATTTGACTCATGGTGAATTCTGTTTCAATAATTAACGAGCTTTAGCAATAAGCTCAATTAACCGACTTGAAGAATTATTGTTATACGGAGCAAAGAGACAAACTTTAGCTAGCTTAAACACTGAAAGTAAATTTGAACAGAAAAAGCAATATTTTTTTTCCAATAGAGCAGGGAGAAGAAAACACACATACCTTCCAGCTCTATACATATAAACCCCACGGCTTCCTTTTCCAACAGTATTTGCCCTACTCCTAAAGTAAAACGGCGCTGCTTCCAGCGCGCAACGCATCAATGCGGCATCCTCGTTCCCAAACTCAATCACCACCGCATTATGCCGCATCAAAGAACCGGAAAAAGTGTCTACGGCCCTCACATAGGAAGCAGAAGGGGCACCATCATAGGGAGAAATATCTGATAGCCTAACCCTGGCGAGTGGAAGTTGGGTGGTCCCCATGTTTATGAGAGGCTCACCGGAAGGATGCGCGGCGGAGATTGGAACAGCGACATGCTCGAGGGGCTGACGCGGGCGGAGAGGGAGAGGGGATTGCGTGGGAGTTGGCGTAGGGGATCTAAGTGAAGCGTCGGAAGCAGGTGGTGGAGGATTCGGCGGTGACGCCTGCTGTGGCTGCTGCATCATCATCACTACCATTAATCATTTCTGAAAGAGTAAAATAAAAGGGGTGAGGGTTTTAGATGAATCATTTTTTGAGCATTTTTGTGCTTTGATTGAACTGCCACTTGGCTATGGAGCTTCGTTTAAAAAGATCATCAATAAATACATAAGTTCGTACATTTTGGGGCAAAATTGTTGAATTTGAAGGTTCATATTTACTTTCATTAAAGTTGCTTTGTTTATAGATTAAGATACTTAAACTACTCATAATCAAAGATTGATATTTGATTCGAATTCGGTTAATTTTGATTCTATCATAAAAGATTATTATTTTTTTAATTCAGATGTACATCAGGTTGATCTTTTGAAAGATGATATCGAATTAAATTTAAATTTAGAGTAAAAAATACGTGTATTTCTCGAAAAATCACTGGTGATCGGTATATTTATCGATCTAACACCGGTCAGATTATATTTCTCGATCTAACACCCGTAGCAGTAAAGCGCACCCCCTGAACCGCGCTATATGCTGATTTGGCGTCACTTGGGGTATAGTGCGCCCCTTGTACCGCGCTATACGCTGACATGGGTTACACGTGTGTATAGCGCGCCCCCTGATCCGCGCTATACGCCACGTAGGGGTATAGCGCAGATCAGGGGACGCGCTATACGCCACGTAGGGGTGAATTATATAAAACGCGGTCCCTGGTCCGCGCTATATCTTTTATCTGAATAATTATATATAGCGAGGTGCAGGTACCACACATTATATGATTATAAATACACTCCTCCGCCGGTTAAATTTCTCACATCTCCTCGCATCTCTCCTCTCAACTTATAAATTAATACAACAATTTCGTCAACGAGTAATAATTATGTCAATCTTCTCATATTTGATTTAGAAGTTTGTGTAATTTTTCGTTATAAGGTAATTTTGTTATAATTTTTTAATTATACTTATTGTTTATTATCATTATTTGAAAAAAAAATATTATACTAATTATTTTCAATTAATTTTTATATTTGTAAAATTGAAAAGCGGGAACATACGTCGAAATAGTTTTGCGGTGCATGTAATAATATAAAATTATATTATTTAAATTATTTACGTTGATGTGTAAAAAATTTATTATGTTATATTTTCGTTCATATATAATTTATTTAATCAGGTTTGTTTCAGTTATTTTTTTGCAGATATAATATTGCCGCACTTT